CCTCTGTCAGCCCTGGCCTGGCTCAGAGTTGTTGTGAGAAAGTTTGCTGATGTTTACATACTTGTCTGTGTGAGCAGCCAGCAGAATCCACTAGCTATAAACATTTGCTATTTGATAGATACTTTTGTGAATTTTCTGAGGCTTACAAGACTCTCACTGTCTGCACTGGTTGTTCAGCAGAACATCCCCTCCTGCTCTGCAAACCACAATGCCACAGAAAAGCATCTCAGTGTGGCAGGGCTAAGGGCACGTGGGAATGGAGACAGTGAGCTGAGAGGGGAAAAACCATGGGGCAGCAGCAGTGGGGCCAGACAGGCAGAGGAGAACTGCCCTCCCATGGGCACGTGGCACCAGCTTCTCTGAGCATCACACCTGAGGGGCACGCGGGGCCGTGGGCACACGTGGGGTGGCTCCCACACGTTGTGCTGTGAAACCACAGCCTTGGTGTTTCAGCTCCTCTCCCCCAGCCTGGTGAGTGTTCCATGGTAAGCTGCTGTTTGCTGGGGCTGCCCCGGGGAGCTGTGGCACCTCTGCTGCCTGCTGCCTGCCCTCACCGGGCTGAAAAACAGCCTCAGCTCAAGGGGCTTGCTGGCAGCAGGAGGCAGCACCGGGGCTGGTGCCTGGCAGTGCTCTGGGAGGAGCCCGGGGTGAGGCTGACAGGGGCTGTGGAGCTGTGGTTTACAGCTGGACCTGCTCTTGGCCTGTGTTTCAGCCAGTTTATGGAGCTGCTGGCTCCTGACTGGAGCTGTCTGGAGAACACACCAGGAGCACAGCAGATGAGGTCAGGGCTCCCTTGGCCTGACAGTGGGAGGAGCACACAAGGGGAGCTCCCAGGAGCACAGTGTCTCCTCTCACAGGGCCTGAGGAACAGCCCCAGAACTTGTCAAACACCTTCCCTTCTGTTCATGTTGTGGAGCATCCCTGCTGAGTCTGAGCCTCTCCCTCCTGCAGATCCTGCTCGTCTCTGATTATTTCTATGCCTTCCTCCGCCGGGAGTTCTACCTCACCCACGGGCTGCACCTGACAAGGCAGGATGGGACAGAGGCCATGCTCGTTCTGAAATAAGGACTGTGCCCACCTCTCCCTGGACGTGGAGCACCCCGAGGCACGTGCAGACCTTGGGGGGTGTGGGGTGGATGGGGAAGGGTCCCTGAACGAGGGCTGACTTGGAGAATGTTGCCTACTGAGAGAAAGGGCTGAGGGGCTTCCGGGGTCACCCTCCTGAGCTGGGCTCCGTGCAGAGACTGAGAGCTACAGGCAGGAGCTGCAGTGCCTCCACTGGCCATCCCTGTTCTTCCCTCGGCTGTGCTTTCTACTGTGACCTCAGCCACCAGCTCTGGGCAGCCCAGCAGGAACTGGAGAAAGTGTCCGAGCTAAAACCAGGGCTGAGTCTCTGGCCCGGAAAGAACTTGGACCATAAACTGCTTCTGGGAGAGGTTTGCATCTCCTGGCAATGTCACCCTCACTGCTTTGACCACTAATGCTCCTGCCTGGCACAAGGCAGTCTGGGTACCTGGTGCCTATGCCCTGGCTGCAGATGCCAGTTCTTGGGTCTGTTGTTGTGGGATCTGGAAAAAAAAAATCACGTCTGCTCAGGCACAGTGAGTGTGAAACAAATGGGTGACTGAGGACAAGTGGCCTCCTGGGAGGGGGAGAGCTGAAGCTGCTGCCCCAGGTACTAGTCTTGGCACTCAGCCAGTAGGAAGAACTGGAACTGGGGTGAAGGCAGGAGCAGGGTGGGTACTGGGCAACTGCTGTGTCCTGTGGAAGCAGCACACACTGTGGTGTCTGGAGCTGCAGAGGCAGTGTAGGGCCCCAGAAGGGGCAGTGCAGGACCCAGAAGGGGCAGTGCAGGACCCCAGAAGGGGCACTGCTGTGGCAGTGGGCTCCTGCTGCTCCTGGTTTCTGTGGGGTAGTGAAGCTTGGCTCCACTGCTGGGGTTGCCTGGGGCAGCCTGGGTGTGGAACAGCAGCTGCCTGTGGGGCTGGGGGCCAGGAGGAGCAAGACCCCCCCCACTGAGGCCCCAGACCACATCCAGAAGGA